TATCATTTTAATAGTAGTTCAGCATATTGGGAAAATACATTCTTAAGCCTAAGATTTTTTTTGGAGGTTACAGGATGAGAAATAAATTCCTATCATTGCTATCTAAGACTCACATAGTAAAGTATTATTCCATTTTCTCCCATCTTCCACTGCTTTCATTCACCACTGCATGATTCATTTCCACTTTCTGTTTCTCCAAGGCATTTCCTGCTCCACTCTGTAGAATAACCTCAAGGCATCAGTGTGGCATGAGTTGCTTGGCCAAACCTTACTTTATTAGCTTTCTATTTTAGCAACACAATGTTTCAAGTTTAATTGACAGAATTTTCAAAATCTCACATCAGCAGTTGTGCTCATGTGTTAAGTGAAAAGGTTATGTGAACCTTAACACCTTTGTGTTAAAAAGAAATTTGGTGCTGAGCTTCATGCTAACATCTTCAATTTGCTGTTTTATTTTATTTGTGTGTTATATCTATTACATAATAGATAACTTGCTGATTCAAATGGTAAATTCAATCGAAAAGGTTTTTAAAACAAATTTCTTTATGAAATATTTTACCAGTGAATTATTAATATGCAAAATAAGTAGAAAAGTTTTGCTGCATTCGTTTTTTCGTTGAGTCTTAACTACAAATCAGAAGAAGACCATTCAGTTAATTATGTTAATTATCTTACTACACTCTGCTGAAGTATGCGTTTTTCAGAATCGATAAACAGAAAGAGCTATGGGACAGAATTTGAGCTATTTACAGCGTGCAAATACTTTCACGCACAGTCGCCTGTGGGTGGACCAATAACAACATGGCAAGAATTTTTGGATATGATTTCTCCTTCCAGATCTGATTCAGAGAAGCAAGACATTCCAAGGAGAGTTTGGGTTTCTGTTCAACAACTTTGCGTTGTACTGAATTAAACACCAGTACCTACACTAGCCTTTCATCTATCTGACATGCCTAACCTAATCCTCACAGAGGATTCACTGCTATATTTCTTCAGCTTTCCTGACACAACATTCCTCTTACAGAAGTATACAGGACAATTCTTCTCAGTAAAATGGTTTTAATGATATTTCAAAAGCTCAGGGATGAGTATAAATCCAGATGTGAAATCTGGGCTTATCCAAACATATGCAGCTTGGTAGATCTGGCACCACACCAAGTTTGGTTGGGTTCAGAGCTGGATGAACCATTTGATTTTTTAAAAAAGAGGTGAGTCACTGCCACTGGGGAATGCAGAGAGCTGCAGTGACTTGGAATTAATGGGGGATCCACCCCCTCCCAAGGGCACCGAATTCTCCTGAGTTTCACTGGGACAGAGAACAATTCTGTCCTGGTTAAAGAGGGGAAGCTTGCTGGCAGCAAGGAGGAAAAGATTGACACAGATCCATCATGTCATTGAAGCATATCACTTCTGCCACTAGCCTCAGGAAACACTTATTTTAATCAGCCAAGCAGCAATCAAGAGAAGCAACATAAATGAAGCCCCAAAGAAATGAATATTATATATTTTTTTCTTTTGAAGTTTTCATTTGCAACTACTGCTTAATTGTTTGCCGCTAATTGAGTGAATTGGGAACTTGCTTTTTAAAACTGCAGACATAAGTCTCAATGGAAACACCACAAAGTCAGGAAAAACATTACACGCTTTGTGTGCATTGGCAAGCTGCTCGCTTTAGTATTTTTACTGCTCTGTTTGTGAATGGGGTTTCGTTCTCTTTGCCAGTATGTTCTGCACAGACAAGTGAAACTCCATACTCATTTTTAAAACAAACACCATTCTTAAATGGACATACTCTGGTCAGTTAGCTCCCATTTGGCCAACTCATAAAACTCTGGCGTGATCATATATTCCTTCATGCATGCAGCAATGTGTACATGCTCAGGCACATCTGTTTATGCCTGCATAGGCAAATTCAGCCAGCTCGCTTCACAAGGATGGACCACTAACTGCTGGTTAATTGGAAATTATTTAGCCCATCTGCAAAATGCCACGTATAGAACCCTCACACAATTACCCACGTCACAGTCTGCAGTATCTATTTTAGAGTGCCCCTTGGGCTTCTCCTGCGCTGAATAAAATGACTTGTCAGAAAAGCCTGGAGTTCTATCATTGAACTCAAGCAAATGAAGCAGACCAGAATGTTGAAGTATCTGTCTTACATAAACACTTCACTCACAGCACCAACCCAACAAAATATCTATCAGAATCAGAGGAAACATAAACACAATACTCGGGAATCGTAAAAATATTATGGGATATGGAGAAATAATTGGTAAGTGGGATTAATAAAAAAGAGATACTTGGAAAAACAGATACAATGGGCCCAATGGCCTCCTGTGCCAAATATTTCTGTGGGGGTAACGTTTGCGGCATTTTATAATGTGTTCCGTGTGTTTCACACACAGACTTTACCCGTATGTTTCTACGCAACTATATAAACTTGGGTGAACTGTCTCTGGAACCTGTCTGCTGATAGGCAACATATTGACAAAGCTGTATCAGCAGTGTCTACATTTTATATAAAAACCTTTTGTCTGACTGGGTAAAGAATGAAAAACATAAAGTAGGAAGGAACAAGCTCTTTGTAAAGTGGAAGCAGGTTTATGTCCTGGATTATTTAGCATTTGTGCAAATTCAAAAGGTTTAAGATAAAAGATATGACTAGCAGTGTGAGATGCTCAATAGCTCCACTAAGTAAGCTAACCAAATGACCGACGTAAGTAAACCTCAAAAGGAATGAGATTGGAGGTTATAATGCATTCTTCGCTTCATTATGTGTTGATAATGGGAGTTCTCCATTGTAAGTGGAAACATCAAATTTGCTCCAGCTGGGAACTTTGAAGTACAATTGCACTGGGCATAATATCTGATACTAGGTTATATATCCAACACTAGCAAATATATCTAATACTAGGCATTCGTCCTTCGGATGAGACATTAAACCAAGGTCCAGTCTGCCTATCCATGTGGATGTTAAAGATCCCATGACACTATTCAAAAAGAGAAGGGAGTTTCTTCCAATGTCCTGACCCTCTCATAAAATCGCTCATTCCCTTGATTGCTGTGTGCATAATGGCTGCCACGTTTGCCTACAAAATACATACAGTCACACGAGTTTACAGGACCTCCTGTGAAACTCTTTGAGACTCTTTGAGGCACGATATCAAAACCAAGGATTATTATTATGTCCCTTACTGGATTTTATGTCCAATACTGGGCTTTACATCCAATACTGGACATTATTCTCATATAATCTATAAATTTATTGACCTTGGCAGAATAAGTTTCCCTGCTAACTGGCACGTCGATAAGAATGCAACACTGGTCACAATATTCATTCTATGGTATCATTTCAGGAAATACAACATAGAGGGATAAAACGTCTATCCAAATTCCCTCCCTCCATCCTTCCTTGTGGGAACACATCCAACAGAGTTTCCATGTGGGAGGGCTGTGATTGGGAACTCACTGAGGGGAGGACAGCGCAATGAACTTGTATCTTACTGGTGTTCAACATAACGCACAGGAATTCCAAGTCACAATCACTGCAACAACCCAACTACAGTATCAGTTTGCAAAGGCTGTTCTACAAATACTTTTTGGTGATACAAAGTTGCAACTGCAGCATTAAATTGATTCAAATATAATTTAACTGAAAGGAATGAAATCTCAAAGCGATTACAAACTAAACCATATTAAAAATATGTATTATTATAAGAAATGAATACCAAAGAGAACACCCATTAGCAAATGTATTCTGGACAGTCTGGTTGGACCGATACAGTCAAATAACATAATTATAGTTTGAAAACTAACAGCAGAGGCTATTTTTATCAGACACATTCAAAGGAGTAGATGACAGATTATCCAACTGGATTGAACATTTGTTTTATAAAGAGAGTGGTGATAAATGGCAATAACCAGTGGGGTTCTGCTGAGGTCTTTTCTCGGTCCCTTGCCATACTCGCTATTTGTGAATGATGTGGAGCAGGGTACCTATTGCAGTAATATAACATTTTCTGATAACACAAAGCTGTGTGAACAGCTAACAAATGGAAAAAGAGATTGATCATATTCAGGGGAATGTGAAACGATTAGATGGATGGGCTGAGAAATGGCAGATGGATTTTAATGTGGACGAATGCAAGGTAACTCATTTAGGAAAAGGAAACAGTAAGCATATGTATCCCAATGAAATGGTATCCATTAGCAGAGTCAGAAAAGGACTTGACCATGATAATCAATCATGCCCTGAAAATACCTCATCACCGTGAAGAACTTGCAAATAAAATAAAACAAAATACAAGGCTATATTCAGAAATATATATATATATAAATAAATATATCAAAAATATATTGATATATATATCAAGACTGAATATGTTATTACCATTGATGTATAGGATATGGATAAGGTTGTTTCTGAAGTACTCAGAGTATGTGCATCACTCTATTCTGAAAAAGTAGAACTCACAGTTTTCTATGCACAGTACGTAACGGGACAGTGTGAGCATCACCATCCTATGGTCTGCCTCCTTAACCATCCTTGCATTTCTCTCTATCCAGTGAATCTTTGCATCTGAATTCAAAGGCCTGAGCCCTGAAGGGTGAAACAATGTAAATTATGCAGTTCTTGACCCTTACCTCACTGGTGCTCAGAAGCACAAATATGTCAAATGTCATGCCAGGTTGAGTTAGGCTGGTATTCCATGATGTTGCAGTGAAATGCTGTTCTCCTCAGTTGGAAGTAGCAAAAGTTACCAGCAGGAACAAAGATGGAGACTACCATAAGGTCAGAAAGCTAGGGGTGTGGGCGATCGACACCCAAAACTAGTTGATAAATATGGACTGCAATTTTATGTGGTAACTGTTTTACTGAAGCTGTTAATGAAGCATCAAATGTTTCACCAAAGTGCCTCAAAGCATTTATCAGAGTGTTAATTTTCCCTGACATTAACATCTTGAGACATACAGCAATGATCATAAGACTAAAGATTTACCTGCTGAAAAAATGCATTGTTTTCCTCAGGATCACTCGGTTTGAATTGGAACTCATCGTTACTTTCTGGCGGCTCCTGCTTCATCTGCTCAACCAAGTCTGGCTGGTATTCTGCTGCTCTTTCACAGGTACCATTGCTGTTGCTCCTGTTGCCACCACAGGGAGGCCCCTCATCCTCCTGGATAGCCTGCTGTTGACAGAGCTCTTCCTCTGTCTCTTCAGGGTGACTTTCAGGCTGTCGAAGCTGCTCGTGGGGTTTGGACAGCGTCTGTAACAAGTGCAAAACCTAATTTTAAACTGCGTAAATCTCATATTACTTCTTGTCCATTCATCTTTCCAACATCGCTGCTGCCATTAGCAGAGCCAGGGAGAAAATCAGGGGAAAACGGGGGATAAAGATGGTGGGAAAGATTCACGTTGCCCTCTTCCACTTTTGATTTCACGACCTGGGATTCAGACAGAGTTCAGCGCAGCCCGCGGTCACTGCTATGCTTTGGGAAGAGGAACTCTCACAATGTTTCCTAGTTTGACTACTGGCAAGAAAGCTGCTATTTATAACAATTACAGCTTCAAAGTGCTGTGAAGAAATGGTCCTTGAACATTTGGAGCTATCTATATCCTCTCTGAGTAATCATCTAATAATTTCCAGGTGTTGTACACAAGCAATAGTTAAATTTAAACCACATTATTATCTTGCAATGGTTCTTCCTTTGTAAATGGATTGGTTCCCAATTCTGCAGTATCAGTTAATGTTATTTTTACAGTGGAGTGTTTAATAAGTGAGGACAGAAACTGAAAAGAACAAAGGCATCGAATGGCTTTCAGCCTTATTTCACCTTCTTACTTAAATTCTCTTTGTGCTATGTATTCACTTTCAAACTCCTGCTAATGCTGTATGATCATTTTGCGATAAGTGCACTTGACCACTAAGAGTTGACTCTCCATCCAATTCTTTTTCCTTCCCTCTAGCAGAGATCTTTGTCTCAGGTTAGCATCACCCATACGTAACTGTGGGAGAGCCACAACTGAGTTTTAGTTGTGAACACTTGAGTCCTACAACTCCATGATGCAATGCGTCAGGGCATTATTACACCCTGACACTGTCAAATATGCAATATTAAACAGGAAAGTGAATTGTGCCGTTTTTCATATTGAGGACAAATGCAAACTGTATTTCTAAATTTCATTGTTAAATAATAATCATTACTCCCTTAGCATCTAATGTTGGTTTCTCTCATGGCCATTGTCAAGGAAATAGATTAAGTTGTATTGATAAAAGTTTTCTTTATTTAATTCTGCTTGTTCAAGTGGATGTTAAACTCCCTTCACCTTTGCTCACCATCCAAAAAGAGAAGGGAGTTTCTCCTGGTGTCCCAGGCAACAATCTGCCAAACATAATTGGTCATTCACTTCAAGGCGTTTTGTGGGACATTACTGGGTTGGTTGCTGTGTTTGCTTACAAAATACAGTCACTGCAGTTTACAGTAGAATCCTGTGAAGCACTCTGAGACATCCTCCTGACACGAAAGGCATATATCAAATGCAAGGAATATTATTATTTATTATTATTTATAGCACCCAAGAAAAATTAACATTTGGCCACCAGAATAAAATAGCAATAGAAATATTACTGAGAGAGACCGTTGTGCTCTTTGTTGTTACTTGGGTGATTTTCTTTATATACCTAAATAATCAGATGTTGAGGGTTTACCTTGCAGTGTGTTATAACAGGATTCCTTACAAACTACTCCAAGTCGCAAATGGGGACTCTTGGTAACTAAGCAAACATCATATTGACCCATGAGAACTCTGCTCCAAGTCATCTACATCTGGAGTAATGTTCCCGGGGCTTGGTGTGACATATTTCTACTTACCAAAAGCATCAAATATTTGTGACTCAGAATCTTTATAAAAGAGTTCTGTTATTATAAGACCTCAAAATAAATTAAACAATTTCTATTGATGTATGCCCTTCTGCTAAATGTGATGAAGGGACACATTGACAGTTACTGGTAACTCGCTCTTCCTTTGTTAATCTGTTCACTATCATCATTTATAAGCATCAATGTAAAATTTATACTTGCTAGTGAAACAACACATGTTCAGATCACATTTTACTCTCTTCAGTCTGAGCTGGCTATGAACCTAGGTTTCAGAAATAAAAGGGACTTTCTTTCAAATCCACCGTTCTTTACAAAGTTCAGTGAAGACTTTTTATACTTAAAAATGCTGAACACTTATAACAGTCCTTGCATTTAATATTGCCTACAAATTAACATTGTTCCAATTGCAGTTTTTTCTGAATTCAACAAAATTCATTATATGGAGAATGCAATTAATTAGAGGGCATTTAAAGATATATAACTAGCCCCTGCTATTTTAATGGTGGTATTTCATCAAATGGAAGCTAATAAGTTCCCATTGAATTCTCAGTGCCTTTTTGCATAAGCGGGAAATGCACTAGGTAAAGTTGTACCAATTTCAATTTCTCATGTACAGCTGCTTTAATTCAGGAAATTAAAGGGTACATAATTTACAGGGCTCTCTGAGTCACAGCAGTTTCAGCAAGCAAGAGAAGGAATGCAATGAGCCACGGCTCCACTGCACAAGTCCCAGCAGAGAGCACATTAATGGAAGTAATACCTGGCTGTCTCAGCAGGAGGGAGGCATAGACTATTCTCTGGTCCAAGAACACAGGACATTTTGGAAGTGTCACGCAGGGAATTACCTTTTACATTGGTATCAACGAGTAGTTTAGCACGACTTTTAAGATCCATTTACTCCTGTAAGATATCAAATGGAGTTGCAACAGAGCTACGTCTCGAAGTGTACGTTAAGGCACAAATCGAGGGGCAAAGTTCAGTAAGAATGATACCGAGAGCTGACTGTAAAACAAATAACTGCTTCCTGTCTGAAAAGGCGTTTTAAAAATGCAGCTGTTTCAAAGGGAATTTCAACAAATGCTCCATGTCTCATGCCATTGCACCTATTTATGACCATATTGTAAATAAAAATTGTCATCTGTGATGTGTTCGTTCAACTGGTGTTAATTATCACATTGTTCAAAAATGTAGTCGATGCAGTTAGTCAATAACTCAAGGATTCAATAGGTCTGTAGATGCTCACTCTGAATCTGTTACAATGGATTAGCCCAAAGCCACCCCGCAGCTCCCATTGGGCTAGCTGATTCACAGATCCTGGTTGGATATATAGTTTTAATTGAAAAACAAAGTAAAGCCAGTATTCCACAATAATCCCACCAATTCAGCCACAGACAGGCTTCAGACACAACCAATGTGACCAAGTCAGGGGTGAAAGGAGTAGGAGGAGGACAGCTGAGGTACTTTCTAAATGAAAAGGGTTCTTATTGGAAATAAAAGGCAAAATGCATGTATTTTGAGAAGAGGTCTAGTTGACATGGTTTATTCATCACCCAAAAATGAGTCCAAATGTTAACCTTCTAGTACCCTCTGGTAACCTTCTTGTCAATCTAGTACTGTCTAGTAACCTTTTAGTTAAGCTTCTAGTATGCTCTGCTGTTAGCACAAAGAAAGCTCAGACCTTGTTCAGCTGTATTTGCTGCTGGTACTGCTTTTGCTTTTCCAGGAATTGTTGGTGCTGCTGTTGAACGACCAGTTGTGCCAGGGCATGCGTGCATTGAGGGAGTGGCGCAGAGTGAGTTCGATTAAGGGGCCGATGGCGAGGCATCTTTTTTGAGGCCCTTAGAGATGGAGACACTCTCTCTCCCATGGCTGCCAGTGGAGAATGAGGATGAAGAGGAACCACACCTATAACACAGTACAACAGTTTGGTTTAACGGCTGCTTGGAGATAATAGAGGAGCCGAGCATAGCAAAACAGGAAGAGGAGGAGGCCATTCAGCCCATCGAGCCTGTTGCACCAATTTATTAGATCTCAGCAAAAACATCTCAATCCACATGAGATAATGATCTTTCCACTTACATGTATACTTATAAAGTTCTTATACCATGATTACTAAGGCACATCTGAACATCCCAATATTGTTTAAAGGCATCCACTGAACATACGCTACATTGAAAAGAAATTTGATTGATCTATTTTACTTGTTACTGCACAATATGGATCACTTGTATGTACCACAGGAAAGTTATCCACATATAGTTAACTTATCCATCAGCCTAACCCATACCTTGTTCGTACATATTTTGTAGATATCTCAACTTTCTGTTCCCTCTTCCCCCCACTCCCGACTAAAAAAAATATTCATTGCCTCTTTAACAAAAACTGGGTTGCCTTTTTTGTGGGGGTGGAGGACAGAGGGGGGAACACCAGCGAGGCTACAGGAGGTCTCAGGGCCCAGAGAGAAAGAAACACATACACAATCAGAGACACAGAAAGACACTCACAGACACAGAGAGAGACACACACTCGGAGACACAGACACACACACTCACAGATAGAAACACACACACTTGGAGACAAACACACTCAGGGTCACAGAGAGAAATACAGACAGAGACTCACATAGTGAGTTTGTAGTAGGTACGCGTATTTGTAGCGGATTCCGCAGAAAAAGTGCAGTCGCACTTTTCTATTGGCCCAGGTGTTAACTCAGGCTCAGTTTGATTCCAGTTAATTCTATACCCAGAGTTACACAGTCGACGGATTAAACTCATGCATCAGCTAAATCCTACAGATTATAGTAAAATCTGTTTTAAAACCCACACGAGAAATACATTAATGAACAAATTCTAAACCTGCATTCAGAATCCATCATTCTCCAAAGATCAATTGCTAGTTAAAGAGAAATAACAAAATAAATCTTTGCCATGTCAGCCCTTATATTTCAGCACCAATACATGATCAGTTTTAGTAACAAACTCATGTTTTTGGTTCTGGGAAACTGAATGATGTGGAATGATAATACCTACTCCTTTGTCCATATCTTTCTTCCTAGCTTCTTCCATGATTCTTGTTCACTTCTGATTTCATTTCCACATGGTATTTTAGGAGACTTAATCTCACAGATAGTGTGCAACAAAATCAACAAATGAGGTTACCTACATATATTATCTATTACGACTTTGGCCCATCCTCAGTAAAGACACATGTTTGAAACTGATAAAGGAAGTGAAACCAAACCGTCTTGTCCATTGAAAAGAAAAGCCTGCATATTTCAGTCATGTGCATTGAATGTAACAAACCAATGTTGGGATCATCTGTGATCTGAAAGAGCTGGTTTCTATCCAGTCTTCAGTGTCAGATTCATCTGCTTTGAAAGGAGAAAAATACCACACAAGGCAAACAAAATCAAGGAAGACTTGGTTTGCCATGTTGGAATAATCATGCACTGCACTGATTGGAGGCAATGTGAAAACTGACAGATCAGTGGCATGGTGCCTGTGCAAAGCTGGGAACAAAAGCTTCAAAATCCATGTACTATTGAGCACCACACACAGCAGGAAAAACATTTGATACTGTATCTCATTAGCAAAGAGGATAGTTACTCTCAGATTGTTCTCACTGTTAACAAATTAATCACTCCTGGCAACTGCTGCATGAAAGAAATCCTTACCACATTATTGATTGACAAAGTACGCGTGAATGAGTGTTTCTATTTCATTTCTTAGGACTCTTGCTATTAAAGGGAACACAATTTGATCCTGGTCCACTAATGCCAAATTGAAAATTGAAAACCAATGTAAAATCTTTGTTTAAACTGGTATTTATAGACACAGTTTCTTTCAGAATTTTCTTCTTAATGACAGTAATCACTTAAAACAGTTGAGTTTGGATAAATCCAAATGCCGAGAGCTCAAAGTTGTTCTTAGCTTCCTCCACATGAGCACAGCTTGGATCTGAGCAGGGCATTTTTCTGGAAACCGAAACTCTGCTAGTTTCAGCAAGCTACGGGATGCCATGGTTTCCATAAACCGATGAAGTGCTCTATCGAAATATAGCAAGTTATAGATGTACATTCTACAAGTTCATGCCATCTTCTGTCCCTCACCGGAGTGGGAGCAGCAGCAAGTCAGTTAAGACTCCCACTTGACTTCAGACTTGGCTCTTGCCAACCTGTGTCTATTACTCTCAGTAATTAGACAGGTAGGATACGTACCTCTAAGGAGAAGTACCTTTCCATTTCAGACAAAGGGAAATGTCCATATGTAGGTGCAACTCTCAATTGTTTGATTTGGATATCTTAAGTTCGGTACAGGTTTCCCACGTGTCAGACCAACATTTGGTTGTGTTGTTATTTCGTGATGTGGGAGCAGTCAGCCTTAGGCCACATTTTCAACATGATTATTAAACTTATCCATTTGCTAAAAGTTGCATACCTTACCCCCCCGCCCCCCACTACCCCCGCCACCCGAGTGACCTTTTACTTAAAAATAAATTGTAAAGCAGACCTAGAATTTGAAGGCATCATTCTCATTTGTTCGGATTCTATAGAAATCCTGATCCAAAAATTATTTTATTGTATCATTAAATCACCTCTGGCCAGGTCTGGGCATTAGGCAGATTGCAATGTTGTATATTACCAGCTAACAACAACAACAAAATTACATTTGTATAGTGCCTTTCAACTCACCTGTTGTGAGAGGGCTCTGTTTCCGTGCCTGTTCCATCAAAAGTATATGCTGCAGAAGGGCATGGTGGGTACTGTTCACCTTTCCATCGAATTGTGCAGGCGGCAAGTAAGCAGTTAAAGGGGCGCTTCCTCTGAACTGCCCAGTGAGAGCCATCCCCTGATTGATTCCCTGAATGGTCTGCCTGTCACATTCTTGGGTTGACGTTGTGGCCTAAAAGGCATTTTTTAAAAAAGTCAAACTGCATCAGTAGTGCACATGTTAACCTTAATAACTCCCAAGTCGTAGACAGGGAAACCTGCTGGTAACTGGAAGAGCTTCACGCTAACCCATGGGAACTTTGCAATCTATTTGTGGGTTTGTTGAAAAGCTTGGTGTAAGTGTGGCGTAATGCGCTTCTCAGACTAGTAGGATTCCCGAGATTCTTTATTTAATGAATTCTCTTAAGAAACATCACAAGTTAGCCCCCACTGTTTTTCACTGATTTTGTAATTGAATTAAAAAAATTGTTAAGAGATTAGCCCTTTCTCATTTCTACATTTTCTGGGAGTACAAGCACTATAATACAATACAATTTACATTTCTATAGCCCTTTTCATATCAGGAAGATTTGCATGGTCACAGTGCTAGATGGGCACCCGAGCCTCGGGGGGAGCTGAGTGGGGAGGGAGGGAAAACATATTGCAAAAATGGTTTCCATTAAGCAGCTAGGTCTAAAGTGTCCAGTTTCAGCACTCATTGAAGAATTTTATTTTCAATAAAATATTTCTCTGGCTGGTAAATAAAAAAAGGCCTCCTTCCAGTTGTGAATGCAGGTCACATTGATGCAGACCCCTAAAGGTTTACTAAGGCACCTCAAGATAACCATCGTTTATGTGGCAGATCAGTGAGATTAAGTCAATCTTTAGAGTTGTAATTTTACATACATTCATTTGGGAGGAAGCAGATGACACAGCTGTAGCGGGGAGACCCAATGTAATGTTGGGTAGCGATGGTGACGTATAGAGACTTAATGCATTCACTGATCCATCCCGGGTTAGAATCCTGTGATGTAGTGGCAAGTGCTGTTAAAAGAAGAATTTATGATAATTACTGAAGAAAGAAACTGTTTGTGAGATTTGGCTCAACATATTAGCTGTCAGTATTTAAATGTGTAAGTTCTCCGAAACCTGTATTACCGAAGGAGCAAAGGGATATTAGTGAATGTTTGCTGATGAAAATGACAACCACGTTTGCCTACAAAAGCAGCCTGAACACTTGTAAATAGTGAATAGGTGTTATAACAAAGAAATTTCTGTTTCTTTGTTTTTTTCTTTCTGTATCCTCGCCAACCACCCAATAAAAATTGAACATTCACTTCATGGCTGTTTGTGGGACATTGCTACACACAAATTGGCAGTCCCGTTGCCTATAAAATACCCAGTCACAACAGTAAATTCTGTGAATCACTTTGATAATAATAATAATAATCCTTGCATTTGATATAGCGCTTTTCACGTCTTCTAGACGTCTCAAAGCGCTTCACAGAATACGCTGTAAAGTGGATTGACTGTATATTTGTGGGCAATTTTTTTGTATATTTGATGTGAAAGGCACTAGATTAAATACAAATCTGTATGTTCTATTTATTAATTTGTCATTCCCAACCCTGTATTGGTCCTTTTTAAGGAATGTGTTGACTTGCAATTTTTGTTGAACTGTCTATTATCTGGAAACAGTATCCCTGGAAGTATACAATGGTTCATTCAGTGCATTGCAAAGTCTTGAAAGTGTAATTTAAAGAGGTGGGTGGTGGAAGGGGGGAAAACAGTCATTATTATAAGGCAGGACTGGGTGTGGCACTTTCCAGACGTTCAACAATCTGTGTGTGGCCAACATGAAAAAAAAATATCCTACATGATTGTCGTAAGGTCTTGTAGAATCCAATTAGGCTCTTTCCATGCTGAATGCTTTGGTCTGATGGAAGCCTTGGACTTAGCACTAAAGATCAAGTCACAGCCGCAGCACTAAGTTACGAGAGCTACCACCCAAACTGAACGGATAACATTGTGCATGATAATTGCTGCTGGACTTGTGCCACCTTTCGAATGCCATGTTGATATTAATACCACCGATCTGCAAGTTTGCTAATGTGCAAACTTCCCGAATATTCCATCTAAAGCTCTACACAGTAAGTGAGAATTGGTTCCAGACATATTCCCTTTCTTCTTTTTCTTAAACAAAATAGCTGAAACCTTAGTACGCACAGGGGCAGGAGAGTTGCCTTGTAATCTTTGACATTCGTTTGCAGTGTCCTGCTCTGTTATTCCAGCACGAGGAGAGGCTGCACAGTTTCCCCTTTATTTTTGTGGCTTCTCAGGGACTCCCAGCTGTAACCTGAGTCCGACCACAGGAGAGAAACATGGATGTAAAAGAACACCTAGTGTAGCAGTGTAGCAACACTCATTGCTTACTTCCCAAACAAAGAGCATCTGTGAATCAAATAAAAGAGGGAAAGGGTGCACAAGGTCCTGGCCTGACTAAATTATAATTTGTCACCTCCACTTTAGGCACCTTTGAGTTCTGAGATATCACTTATCCTGGGTAAGAAAATAATAATAAAACGCAGCCCATGGATGTCACACTGTCTTTTTTTCATTGTTGTTGTTTTACGGGCTCTGGCCAACGTTTTAAACATGAGAAATGCCAACGAGTGTTTTCGTTCAAAACATAGCCTCCCACAGAGGCTTGGTGGAGGCTGGGTGACATGAATGCAAGGTCAAAGTGACTTGGAACCATGAGGAGCACACAGGTTTCATCATATTGATTGTTTGTTAATGGATAGATAGGAGAATCAATTGTTTTTTTGAGCAGTTTTATTTTTTATTAACAATACTAATTCAGTAATTACTTGACCAGCCACTCACTGGTAAACCATCTGTTGGGACAACAGTTGTGTGCAACGTGCAACATATTTCACCACATGTGAGGTCCAAATGGCTCCTTAAGGCTCAGTCTAAAACAGTCTGGGTGATTTTTTTATCGTCTTTTAACATTTTGTAACACTCTTTCAATCCTACATAATCAGGGAAAAAAATCTTCTTAATATATAAGAACCTTTAGGTGTGATATTGTGCCTTTCATGTCAGGAAAACATCTCAAAACTCTTCACCAGATTCATTGTAGGGTGTAATGACTGTCTTTTGTAAGTGAATGCAGCAGCAATCACCAACAAAAGAAAAATCACTATATTGTTTATGTACCACACAGTTGTCCCACCAACAGCAATGGGAATATTTGTGGGACATTGTGGAGTTCTGTAGCGTATTGGTTAGAGCACTCGCCTTACAAGCGAGAGGACCCAGGTTCCATTCCTGGATGGGGCAAAACCGTTTGCACCCAGTTGTCAGTCGATTGGTGGACCACTTTCCAGGGGTAATAATCACTTAACAAAATAATAAATTGGTCAATCAATCCACGACTGTTTCTATGACACTGCTGTACATAATTGGCTGCCACATTTTGCACACAAGGTATAGTGTCAATTCACTCTATAGTATATTCTGTGTAGTGTTTTGAGACATGATAAGGCACTATGTCAAATGCAAGGGTTTTCATTATTATTATTATTGCTTATGGGATATTCTTTTAAAATAAAAAAGCAATAGATGATGTTAGGCCATGATAGGAAATATCTATTCACAGTCCTGTCTAAATGTTTTGCTACATTTATTTACATTTCATGTCATGTCTTTTGATTTTGCTGCAGACTTGCTCATGGAGACCTGCAAAGGGTTAAACAATAGCTGTCGTGGATGATAATTACTGACTTTAATCTGCTGCCTTTCAAACATCCGCTTTCTATCATACAACATCTGGAAAAGTGGTTCTCTGCAAATTTCTAACGCATATATAGGCTAATAGATGGCTGGCAATGTTTAAAGCTGTAATTTAACTGAGGTATACTGATGATGTGATAAACCACCAACACAAAGTTGGAGGAGCCAGTGACCAATTCAGATTGAATTGCAGTTTTAAACCTGCTGCTGCCTATTTATGACTAAGAATAATATAGCACCATTTTTTTTCAATGATAAAACAGTACTATTTTAGTTTTACGTCTGTCATATAATAAGCATCTTGAATACGGCTGTACAATGCAACTGAAGGGACAACAGGTGATAAAATAAGAATAAAACTGATGAGGCTATTGGACTTAAGGTTATGTGGCACAGCATGGCAGGACTAAAGCAGTATCATTTACTGTTGACAGAAGGTTCAAGTTTCTGGTACATAAGCTATGCAGTGTATATTATTGAGTAGACGAGAAATACCTATCTAATTCTTTGCTGAAATCATTCTTCACAGGGAAGGGATGACCTTTACAGTCATCTTAGTGAGGTGCATAAACCCTAGGGATCTCAGTGAAGAACATAAACCTTGGGCAATAGAAGATGCTCACCTTTGAATGTTTGACGACCATCAATTTCTCATTTTAGGTATAGCTCAAGTGAGACAAAGAGTAATAGTCACATTAATATGTCCCAAGACTGAACCTTAGCCCCCACCTCAGCAGAGTACCTATTGTCACTACCAATGAGAAACCAATGTGTTTTCCATGCCAACTATCTATGTGGACTCTTACTGTTTCAATTTTGAGTTAACTTGTGTTGGCTATCGAACAGCTCTATATTGGGGAGGGAGGGAGGAAGGAAGGAAGGGAGCGAGGAAGGAAGGAAACTTGCATTTTTATAACACTTTAAACATTAAAACATTTCAAAGCTCTTCATAAATAATTACTGTCAATTGCAGTGAATGTTTTTTGTGTGCAAATAATTTCAATCATGACTTATGTCAAAACATCTTAACTCACTTCAGAGTCTTTCTTTAAAGAGCGGTGACTGTGCATCAATCGGTATATGCTGTGACCAATTTGCACACAGTAATACTGCATCCCTTTAACATTTCACCCACAAAATATACAGTTAATTCACTTTACAGTATATTCTGTAAAGAGCTTTGAGACATCTCGAAGATGTGATAAGACGCTATATCAAATGCAAGGATTATTATTATTATTATCCCACAGACAGCCACAAAGTGAATGACCATTTTTTTTAAAATCTGGGGAATTATTGGCTAGGAAACAAAGAGTTATTTCCTTCTCTGTTTCATCTTGGCATCTTTAATGTCCACCTGAACAGGCAGATTAGATTTTGATTTAACATGTCATTTTACACTGCAGTGCTCCCCTAGTCTTTGAGCTCCAAGTCCACCTGAACAAGAAAATGGGACCTCGGTTTAACATCTCATCTGAGGTTGCCATCTCTAACAATGCAGCGCACCCCTACCATTGCAATACAGTATCAGCCTAGACTGTAAATCCAGTACTGTCAAGAGTCTTGAATCCACAACCTTTTGATTCGGAGGTGATAATGATACAACTGAGCCAGACTGACACTATTTATATGCAGCCATATAAATAGTTGCATATTTTGTGCCAGTAAGATCCCACAAACAGCCTTAAGGTGATCCATTATTAATTTGGATGCATGTACACCAGGGGAAAGAACAGGAATAAGAGTTTCCAAAATCTCAGTCTCTTACAACTGTCAAAGAGTTTGGACTAGATACAAACTCAGAAATGCAACTTTTTGCCAATTGACTGCACCAGTTAGTCTAAATAAACTAAAAATATATCATTCTTTTCCAATGCAAAATATTCCTCCACTTGTACAGTTTTTCCTATTAATACTGTACAAGACAAACATCACCCATGTTCCTCAAGAGAAAATGAATTAACCAATGATTACATTCAAAATCTCAAATGTTGGCCCATGCAAAGCTGTATCGAGCAATTACTGCAAATGGCACAGTCGGAGCCAACTGAGGTCTTCAGACATCAATAGGATGAGTTAAGTCACAGAATTCTGACAGCGCACCTGAAATCTCAGCTGCTTTTTATCAAGCTGCGTTTTGGAATACTTTGTTGAGTGAATTATTCCCCAAGAAATTCTCCCTGCTGGTATTAATGCTAAAAAGGCTTAAAAACGTGAGATGCTACGAGGCAGAGAGGAAAAATACAGCGGTAGAGTACATGAAGTGATAGAGAACACTCAAGACAAAAGGTGACAGAGCATTAAGTGAGAGAGAATGCACAAGAGACAGAATGAGAGATGAAATAAAGAGGGAACACCCACAAATAATACAGTCACACCACTTTACAGTATATCGTGTGAAGCGCTTTGAGACATCTCGACGATGTGAAAAGGTGCTATACCAAATGCAAGGATTACTATAATTTATTATAATGCATGAGATAAAGAACTAGAAAGTACATGAGACAGAGCAGAAAGAAAAACAAAAAAGAGTATAGCAAAAACAATAACTTGCATTAAATAGCGCCTTCATGCAGGGCAGTGTCTCAGAGTGCTTAATGGCCAGTGATGCACAATATTGGAGGTCTTACCTCAGTGTGTAAATGAGACACCCCATTCTCTGTTGCCAGCGCACTGGAGGTGTTGTTGGGAGAGCTGGGACCTGAACCTGGAGCGCTATTACACAATGTAGAATCTGTAAGAAGAAAACAAAACATTTATCAGAAACTACAACTGTTACTGTGTATGGTGAGAAGAATCTGCAGAACACAAGTTATTTTGTAGGATTTAATATCTATCTGTAATATACTCTGCCCTCCTCTCCCATTTATGAAACAGGTGAGAAATAAATCTACATACATATATAGATAGATATAATATATTACCTTGCTTAGCTTTCCAAAATAACTTTAGAATTGTATGATTTTTTAAAATGTAGATCTGACTGCTAAACAACCTGGTCAGCCAATGAAGCTGAACTAAAACCCATCACACACACTGGTGATTTTTTTGTCAATGTTAAAATACACCTAAATAATCATTACATTTGATATAACACCTATCGTATCGTAAAAATGCCCCAAAGCTCTTTGCAGGATCTAATATAAAATGCTGTGACTGTGCTTTATAAGACAAATGCTGAATAATTTTAAATATTAAAAATGATATGCACATTCTGCATGGAGCATCCAAAGTAAGGGGGAAATAACAGTGTATGGAAGATGGGAAGTAGTCAAAGGAAACCTCTTAAGGTATTTGGTGGGAAAGAGCCTAAGACTATGCTGTCCAGGGTCCACCACATCTCATTTGTGGACCCTGGAGTCCTGTAGCTCAGTGGTTAGGGCACTCGCCTCACAAGCGAGAGATCTTGGTTCGATTCCCGGCAGGGCAAAATGGTGGGCAAGTTTCCTTACTCCATTCGCCTCTGTTTACTGAGCAGTAAGTTGGAACCCAGTTGTTAGTCGATTGGTGGATCACTTTTCTGGTGGTAATAATTCCTTCAAAAAAAAACATAAATGGTTACTTCAATCCACTATTGTTTGTGGGACACTGCTGTGCGTAACTAGCTGCTGCGTTTCGCTCTCAAAATATACAGTCAATTTATTTTACAGTATATTCTTTGATGTGCTTTGAGACATCTCGAAGATGTGATAAGGCGCTATATTAAATGCACAGATTATTATTATTGTTATTGGAGCACCTGGTCTTTGACATTAATGAGGTAGACCTTCAAGATAGCTTCAAGGGACCGAATCTAATAAATCAGAGGCCTAAATTCCACCATAGGATGGAAATCTGTTTTGTCTTAACATTTTAGCACAAAATTGTGAGAAAATCTTCTATTTAATCATAATTTGGAAGCTGTTTCTCTTAGAGAACTGTGGAAACCAGCTCCCAAATTAACAGTGAATTCTCCAGAATTTTCCACAATCATGCAATCTTAACTTTTAAGACAAAATTGTCTTACAATCTGAGATTGGTGTAAATTCCAGACCGCACATGGAGTAGATATTGATTGACCATTTCAGATTTTTAAAAAGAATTGTTGTATTTGTCAAAAGACACATGATGCTGTCTCCGTCCCATTAAAAATCATTTTTTTCCAAAAAGGTTTTGGATAAAAGTGATACACAAAAGACTCCTTTAAAATGAATATCAGTGAGCAGCGAGGGCAAGACAGGATCATTGATTAGTAACTGCCTGGAAAGGAAGCAAGGAGTAAGTAGTCCTAAGTGAAGCTCATTTGAAATGGAAAAGGTAACAAACAGGGGTCAGTACTGGCCCCTACTTTTCAAATTGTATCCAAAGAACTGAGATTCACAGATTCAATCCAAAATAGTTGTACTTGGTGCTGATATTAAAGGGGAAGAAGATAACAGAAAACATTTGAGAAAAATGGTAAAAAAAAATGCTTAAAAAAAATCAGATGTAAACCAAGCACTTATAGTCAGTAATAATACTTGCATTTGACATGGCACCTTATATCAAATTACCTGAAAGTGCTTCACACCTCAAGCATTTTGAGATCTCTTGACATTATAGTGGCTATCATTATGTGTAAATACAGAAGGTAACCTGCATCAGCAATGTCCCACAAACAGAAATAAGATAAGTTCCAAATTAGTTAACTGATGGATTAATTGAATGTTTGTTTAATGGGGTATCGAGGGGGTGAATAAAAATAAGCGAACAATAACGGCCAGGACATTGAAGAACTCTGTTCTTCTTCCAAATATTGCTCTTTGATGTCCATCTGACTCATCAGAACAAAGAAACAGGAATTCAGTTTAACATTTCTTCTGAAAGACGGCATCCTCAACAATGTGACACTCTCAGTACTGCACTGCAGTGAGTGTCAATGTATTCCTGTATATTTCTATAAACTCTCAATTTGGTTTGGGTACTCTTAAGCATGGTGATGGGTTTCCGTGTGTATCAGATAACTGGCTAACAATAAAAATATATATTTCTATAAAATAGTCTGCATCTATCCAATATCTACCTGGGCTTTCTTCAATCAGATAAATAACCATTCAAGTTTACAATTAAGCAAAACTCGGGTTGAAATGTACATGCACCATATAGTTATTCCAGTCAACAGAACCAAAATGATTTCAACTTTCCTAGCCATATTGTTTACACTGGATGGAATCAGACTCTGGTTTCAATTAGCATGAAGTTTGACTTTTTGATATTTGAACAGTTGTGATAAACAATGCAAACATAAATAATTCCCCAAACCTGACTTTGTTTAATCTTGCACTGACATTTTGGATGAATGCCTAACAACTAAATTTGAGACGTGTGTAATAACCTCCACACTGCCTGGAAGGTGGCTGTGAATCAGTTCAGAGGCCAATTTACTAAGGAAGCAGCGTGTTCAGTCACGACACAGAGAAAGTAACTCCATGGTTCTTCCAGGACAAAGAATAAGCTTTAATTTCCTCAACCCTTGTGAAGGCATGCAAGAAAACAAGAAACTAATGAACAAGAAATAGACATTCGGCCAATGTTTACGAAACTGACCGTGCAAAAGGTACCCAAGAATACTCAAAGAAACCCAGAGAATATTCATCCATTTTCCCACTTCCACTATGAAAAGATGACCTCCTTTCCTCCAGATAAATATCTTGTACTAAGCTTCCTTTCAGTGGTCACCAAAATGCATGGTGAGTAAAGATGAAGATGATTGAAAGCAGTATGGGACATATGGTACCTATGTTGCCAGGACTATGGAAATGTGCAGAATAAGTGGTATAATAGTTATTATGTTAGACTGGTGGCCTAACATTTGGAACCATTCTCTTTAAGGGTTGGGGGAGATTTCACAAAATTTAGGAACATTGAAGTGTATTGAAGAAAACCCGAAAAGGTCATTGTGGTCCACATAGCCAGACTTCATGTACTCAGATATTCCCTCATGAGATTAAATCATTAAGGTAAAGGCCTTGATAACCAAAACTTTATATGCTCTATTAGAAGAAGATGTTTTGCTAGGCTGAATGGCCTTATCTCGTCCTATCTGTTCGTCTACAAAGAACATTTATAGCACTCAAGGAAGCCATTCAATCTGTCCAAGTGATCGCTGCCCCAGATTGGAGCTATCTAATCTAATTTAATTCCCTGCTCTTTCCCCATAGACTTGTATATTATTTTTTCTCATACAAAGGTTTAGAATTCTAGGAGCAAATGTTGAAAACGTTAATGACAGTTTTCTTTTTTCATTAATTGAATCTCGCTTAAAATATTCTGGAAGAGGCAGACATCTTCCCAAGAATTTACACCAAGTGGGAAGTGACATGGCCAGTCAAAGCCTGATATTTGAAGGGCCCTCTGACTGCCCAGTTCGTGCCAGTAACAAGTTCCCATCACCTAGCATCCACATTATAGTGAGAGCTACTCAAGCCTGGAGATAAGAGTCATTTAACCTAACTGGTAGCAAGCAAATTATTGGAATCTGGGCATGCTTTGGTGCCTTCTGAAGCCATTGCTATTTGGCTACATCTCCTTAATCTGTGGACTATGTCAATAGAACATAACAGTTTGTCAATCTCCTGTACAGTAGCCCTGAACAGTATAAGTTCATTTGAAAATCTTACACAGTTCATGAGGTCAAAAATATTTTATTGCATATCAGACCATAGGGTATGATCATCTGTTCAAGGCACAACATTTTGACAAATGTTATTTGGGAAAAGTACAGATTTGTTTTATTAATAGATAAAGCACTTGTGGGCATAAATATCATACAAGGTGCATATCAAAATCTTTTGCACTTTATTAGAGTGGCATTGAATGTGAAAGATTGTTGCAAAAATAAAAGCACATTATTGGCTAAACAAAACTAAAGAGTAAATAATTCCATTACTTCCACTGTATACCACATGCACACATCACTAACAAAACATAGCCAAGTGTATAAATGTTACACAAATATATTGAAATATAAACTGCCCCAAATTATGACCACAAACATAAAAAAAATTGGAAGTAATAGTTGCATTACGACAATCATTTCAGTGGCACCATCTGTCTCACATAGTAATGTAGCACTGGATATCTGTAGTTCTTCAAAGTTGGAAGTTTATTTTTCTTTACGAGAAACTGAGGTGATCTTTTAGTTGTCACAACCTTTCCACCCAAATCATACAAATTGTGGAAGCCTAAACCCAATTATAATACAAGCCATTAACAGATTAGTCATTTGAGTAGGTTTTTATTCTTGGCAAGCTTCAGGTGGTAGTTTGTGATGAAAAAGATGGGGAAGAGTTGTTTCTCTGCCAAGAAGGCAGTGATGTACAGCATAGCTTCTGCCACGCTGACTGGAGACCTTGATTGCTGCTCCCCGGCCTCTTCAAAGCTTGGACAATTTGAGTACGTTGTTCAAAGCAGACATCTACTTTCTGGTTGTTTGATCACTAGATGATACACAGGAAGAATTTGAAAAAAAAGGAAACTGGTCCAGTCGCCAGGGTGTGGCTGGCACGTTGGGGTTGACTGGCTGAGCAAAGATGAAGTGGGTTGTCTGAAGAACGTAAACAGCCACAGAATCCTTATGTTCTGCATTCATCAGATATTGGGGTACATTCCACAGGTACAGCACATGGAAGGTATGTTGCAACGACTGGGATCATTATGTACTCGTTAACATCTAAATGACCCCCCACATTGTGAAGACAATTCGGCACTTCATGAGAACTAAATATTCTTTCTTGTGCTTCTAGCAAGAGGGCCACCAGGTTAGAGAGAGGAGTTGACAGGTTTGCTGTTGAGTTATTTTGAAGGCTTGGTTTGAGTCGAAACAGAGTTTCTGCTTCTGGTCTTTTCTGGAAACAGAGGAGCTTTCTCAAACCTCTTTTTTCAATCCAGCAAATCTTTAAAATGCCGTCTTTCAGAAGTTGGGAATATGATGAAGATGGAAGTCATCACGCCCCTCCTCCAACCTAGATTGTCCAGCAAATGTGCCCTAGTAGCCTGTGTATGTTATAAATTTGAGATTTTGTTCAGAGAAAGACTCTGACTACATCAATAGTACAAGTTCAACTCATCCATGTGCAGCAATGATTTCTCAAGGCAATGTGTTGGAATAAATGGTCTCTCATTACTAACTGCAGAGGAAGATCAGATAAGGAGCCGGACCTCACTGCCTGGAACCAATGTTTTGTCTAAGAGATAAAGATGACTGAGGGCTGCAGTAATGAAAATAAAGATGCTTTTACTTAAAGGAACAGGTACCCCTCCTACCTGCTGTCCAATGCACCATTTGGTCTCTTCTGTAGTAGAATATAGCATGTTTATCCCAACATGTATCAAATCAAAAACACTGGACTTAAAGCTGTCTACAACAATGGAAATTAGAAAACAAACTAACAGTGGTTTGAATCCATTAATAAGGGTAAGTTAAAATTTTTGCATTGATAATGTCAATTTCTTGACACCACAAGAAATGATTCATGGAATTTCGTAAGGATTTTAAGACTTGTTACTTTATTTCTCTCTCCACATTCTTTCATTAACCCTACCAAGACTATGACAGAATTTCAGCTCCTTAGTTGCCCAATTGGCTTTTGAATTATAAAAATAATGATAATCCTTACATTTGATGTTCTGATCTTGATGCAACATATCTATATAACAATTTTGAGAAACTGCAGTTTATAAACATGCTGCGATCGATATATTACAACAAACTAAACCATTTAAAATGAACAGTTCTTGAATCTTTGTGCTAAGTGAAATACAGCAAAGGTCTTGGTTACAATCATGATACCCTAATAGAACAATGCTAGTATGAAGAATATCATGAAAATTCTTCCATATTCTTCTCAGCTACCTGTTCTCTCAAGTGATCTCTTCTTAAAGGTGCTGATGATGGTGCCATCTTTCCTGCGCAACAGTGGACTACTCCTCCTCTCTGCTACTTTCTGTTTTAACCTGGAGCGCACCTTCAAATTTGGCTCTGAGGCTGTAGACATAGGAGAAAATAAGAGTTAGGGCAACCAACACTAAGATAGCATTTACAGCTTATAGCAGCAGGATTGATGGGAGGACATCAGGTTGGATGAGATTTCAATAAGTTCTCTCCCTCTTATTGTATCAGTGGGAGCTTATTTATGAACTAATCCTCTAACTTAATATCTTAGCAAGATCATTGCTTTCACATTCAAGGTTGTGCAGAATTTTGCAAAATTTTAATCTGGAAGCCGGTTTTCCACAATTCTTTTTGAAGAATTTTGGACAAGTGAAACACAAACACCCCCCAAATTTTCTTTTAAATCTCACCACAAACAGGAAGATGAATCATAAACTAGAACACATAAACCAGGAGAGAGAACGGTGCAGGGAGTACCTCACTGCAACCAGTCTTTACAAAGCACATTCTTCCCTTGTGACCATAACACTCGTCAAACTGTTCCTGTGGCGTTCCCAACCTATTTAATTCTTTGCTTTCATTGTTTTTCGCCTGTCGTAAGGCATATAAATCTCAAAATTCCGCTGCCTAAACACGTGCAAAAGTTACCGCATCAAAACTGCCAGTTCATCAATACAGTTAATTTGTTTATAGCAGCAGAAATCCATTTTCAAGAGCAGCTCTCACTTTCTGACTTCACGCTGTAACTATGTAGACTCATAGCAGTACAGCACTGTATTTATGACTGCAATTATAACACCGAGGAGGTCCTAGCCTTGAGAGTCAAGATCAAAGCACTTCCATCGATTTGGAGCAAAACTCATTTATAGTCATTTTTCAAAGAGCTGCCTCCTAAACATCTGCTCCAACATTTGAAATAGGCTTAAACTATATATTTAAAAAATTGTAGCAACTTATCAGTGAATGTTTCAAAGTGCTTTTATAGCAATGTCTCCAATTAATGCAAAATTTCACCACCCTTTATACTAAACCACTCTAAACTCCATGCTTCCATCACACCAGTCCTTGCCAGGCTCCATTGGCTCCCTATCGACTTCAAGATCCTCACACTCATCTACAAATCCCTTCATACCCTGGCACCTCTCCAACCTGCTTACTCCTCACTCCATCACCCACTGCCTCTGCTCATCTGGCCCCAGTTTGCTACTTGTCCTTAGACCCCTCCTACGCTCCACAAACTCTGCATTTTCAGCCACTACACCTAAAACTTTGGAACTGTCTCCCTCAATCCCTCTGCCTTGCCCCTCCTTCCCCATTTGTAGATCACGCCTGAAGTCCTTCTTCCACTACGGTACTTACAGTTACATCACCCCGCCCCCCAGCTCGTCGTCAAGACACTACCACTGTTCAGCTCTCCAAGATGCCTGCCTACACGAAAGGCGCAATATAAATGCAAGTTGTTGTTGTAGTAATTATTGTCAAGTGCAGTAAGTCTTTTGTAAGCAATAAGGCAGCCATTTTATGTACAGCAGGTCCCACAATCAGCCTTGAGGTGAAGTGACCAATTCATCTGAGGATTGTTGGTCAGGGAACCGACAGAAATTCTCATCGCTTTTTGAATAGCTCTGTGGGATCTTTAAAGTCTAATTGAACAGGCAGACTGGAAGTTGGCCTACCATCTTATCCAAAAAATACGTAAAATTCCTAGAATTCCCCTAGTACTGCACTGGGTGTTAGACCAGACCATGAGTTTGAGTCTGACATATTAACTGACGATTAGAACTCATTATTATCTTTACATTTGATATAGCACTTTTCACATTAAGATGATGTCTTAAAGTGCTTCACAATTATACTGTAAAGTGTAGTGACTGTGTATTTTACAGGTGTATTTATTTGTTAAGTTCGAGCTTCCATCTGATTAGAGGCTTGATGTTTCACTGCAGGGAGAAGGGGACTAGTTAGGGAGATCAAGTCAATCTCAGCTTTTCTCATGTGCTTATTAGCGATCAGTTTAAGCACACCATTGGCAGAGGCCTGGGAGCAGGTCACCTGCCTGACCTTTTAGTGCTGATTAGTGCATAGCCAGAGGAAACCTACAAGGGAGAAAGGGGGGGGGGGTCACAATAAAATCAAAATAATAAGAAAAATGCATCTGTTCTTAATATATACTGTTAAAATCTCTGTGCTTAAAAATGCAGGCTTATGTGCAATGTAGGTTATAATGAAGGGTGAATTATTTACGCAACCGTAATAAGGACACAGAGATATTAAGATAATAAGACGGACAAAAGTTTTCAAGTTAGAACATGCTTGTTTTGTGGATTCCAGTAGCATATTGGTAAAACGCTCGCTGTGCCAAGAGAAAGGACCTGGATTCGATTCCAGGGCAGGGCAAAACCTTAGGCTAGTTTCCTTACTCCGCATGCCTCTGTTTACCTAGCAGTAAGTAGGAACCTGGTTGTTAGTCAATTGGGGGGAATTGCTTTCCAGGGGTAATAATCCCTTCAAACAAAATAAAATAATAATAATAATTGATCACTCATACCACAAATATTTGTAGGTTACTGCTGTGTGCAATTGGCTGCCGCGTTTTGCCCACAAATTGAACAGTCAATTCACTTTACAGTATCAAAAACAGAGAGAACTGGGAAAACTCAGCAGATCAGGCAGCATCTATGGAGAAAGGAAAGTGAGTCAATGTTTCAGGTCGTGACGAAGGGTTGTGGACCCGAAACGTTGACTCACTTTCATTTCTCCATAGATGCTGCCGGACCTGCTGAGTTTTCCCAGCTCTCTCTGTTTTTGTTTCAGATTCCAGCATCCGCAGTATTTTGCGTTTTGTTCACTTTGAAACACTTTTTGTACTCTGTGAAACGCTTTGAGATGTCTCAATAACGTGATAAAGTGCTATACCAAATGCAAGGATTATTATTATTCTCTCTGCTTCTTTTTAAATTGATAATTAATACATTTTTGTTCTACATTTCCATTTCATTTTAAAACACAATCTTCAAAAGGATTGTTCCCATTGAGACCCATTACGTGAATACACTCTCTACTTTATCACATCATGTAATTCACAAAATATCTTGCTTACATGTAATTGGGGTCTATTGTGTTCTATTTGTATTGCACAAAAACATATCAAGCATTTTTTTCTCCTCAGCAGCTCTTAACTCTCAGCCCAAATTTATCCATTACTTTGGTTTTACTGGCAAAGGTGGCAAGGCTCTTCCAGCTCCTCTCTCACACATCTGTGGGCAGAATATATAAAAGGCCTCTTTTCTGGAGGGAAATTACTCTTCTCTTTCTTCATTTTAACCTTTCTTGCCTCTCTGTGGTGTACTGATACAAATGTCTGCATTGCTCCTCTGAGCTTTCCTCTTTTGTTCCTTCCAAACTCCAAAGACTACATCCTACTCTGTTTTCCTCCTCCCTTTTCCCAATCCAATCCATTTTCTCCCAGGACCTCCTCATCTGCTTAGATTTCCTTCTTATTACAATTCACATGATTTGAAACCCCAAACTTAACACTTAACTCCTACTTGATTTACATCAATCTTTTCTGCTGGTCTTTTCAGCCTTGCTGATGTCCAGCAGTGGAGGTACAGTATTGGCCTCTCAGCCTGGTTTCTCATTACAGCACTGAGAAAGGACCACTTGAAATTATTTTTCAAATTAAGACTGAATTTAAGACAGTTTTCCAAAATTATATGCAATCTTAAAATTTAAGACAGTGTTAAAATTAAGTATCAGAACATGAGATATTTTATAATAATAATAATAATAATCCTTGCATTTGATATAGCGCTTTTCACGTCGGGAGGACGTCCCAAAGCGCTTCACAGAACACACTGTAAAGTGAATTGACTGTATATTTGTGGGCGAACGCGGCAGCCAATTGCGCACAGCAATGTCCCACAAACAGTCGTATTTTGGGGTGCTATGAGTGATAATTCACTTCTCACTATATCAAGATAAATACGTCTGCTTCTAAACCTGCCAAGGGATTGGCACTTTGTGGGGAGAGAGGGTATTTTAACACCCCAAGCAAAACACATTCTAACTATCTAATATTTACTTGTTACTGGGTATATTTAATTGCACCAAAAGCAGACAGGCTGTCGGCGCAGTCTGCCAGTGAGCTACGGAAAGGAAACAATTCTTCCCGCAGGTGTCCTCAGGACTGTCATCAGTCGTGAAGTTTAAAAAAACGAGTCCCACACCGAAGCCCCTTCAGGTTTCATGAAAAACGTTCAAAAATAAAGAGTAAACATGCCTGTCATTCTGTTCAGGGTCATTTTATTTATAACCTCCCTGTGCTGCTGAGCAGTAAAGAGATTTCCATTAGAGAGGCTGCCTAATGTAATGCAAATCCTCTGGGTTTGGTGAGAGCTCTTCAGGGCAGGCTGAGGGAAGCTGGAATTATACACAAATCTATTTCACGCACAGCTGCGTAGATTAGTTTCTATTTTTGGCCACATATTCATCCCTCATTGCAATTCAGATCAATCATATAAGCAGAACATTTCCTGTCAAGCCTTCTACTGCTCCCCTTCACACAGAAAAGAATATGTAACAGCTTTTCAACTACAGCACTAATAACAAAGATTCATCACTGCACTCTGCCACAGCAGTTATATTATGGAGGCAAAAAACAAAAGAGTCTCTCTACTTGCAGCTAAAAGGATTTCATCCCAACATGCCATGCAGAAGGACATGAAAGGGGGATCAAACAGAATGAAGTGTCTGATTTCAAGCCGTTTAGGTAACCACAGTGAGGGTGGGAGGAAAGGAAAAGCACAACATAAGTGATTGATAAACTGAACCCTAACAATATGTTTGATAGTCAAACAAATCTACAACAATGGGTTAGAAATTCAAACTCAGACAAGCAAAGATGAACAGAGAATTAATGATTTAGCTACGTTACCTAAAGAGAGGGTGGAGAATACTGTATATGCGGATGTAGATTGTGCCAATTTTAGAGAAATCGTGGAAGCAGTATCTGAGTTGGGAGCTGATTGTAGACCACATCTGAGTCATGGAGTCAAGAGCAGAGTCAGGAGATGAGTGGGAGATGAGAGTCA